TTCCGTACTCGTCCTTTGCGTGCCCAAAACCGGCACCGCACCACAGCACGCAGAGGACACACACCAGCAGCACACGGCCAGTCATCATCGCCAGCACTCCTGTCACTTGCGTGTAGCCTTCAGCAAAACCTAACACCCCGTCAACAGAGAGGGGAGAAAAAAGATAGACACAGCCGGTACACCACGCACAGCAACAAAATGGCAGCACCCCAGCAGCAGCGCACACACCACGAGACAGATGGAATCAGTACGATTGCAGAGCTCGCACACCGCCCCGCAAACCACAAGTTTAAAAAGCAATAAAAAACAATAATTAAAAAAAGAAATAATTTAAAAAAAGAAAAGAAAAAACAAACCCAGGGCTCCAGTGCGCATGCTTATGAGTGCGTCCGCGATGCGTTCAACGTGGCGGATGCGGGGCGCAACGCGGAGCACACAGCACGGCAGCAGAAGCAAGTGAAGCAAAAAAAGATCATTATTTTCTCTTATTTTATACAGTGAACCACAACACACACGCACAAATCCCCGCGGTTGAGTGCTGGCACGCACAGCCCGCACACACCTCTTCAGCCCAGAGTGGTGTACGCCAGCGCGAATGCGGCGAGCACCAGCGGGGCACACACCCACGCAGAGCTGCTGAGGCTGCCGTCGATTCTGCGAAGACGTGACGGTGCGCGGGTGGTCGACACAGCTGGCGCCTCTGTAGTCGTAGTACTTGGTGCCTCTGTTGTAGTGGTGGTCGTCGTGGTTGGTGCCTGTGTTGTGGTCGTCGTTGTCGTAGTCGGTGGTTTTGTCGTGGTCGTCGTGGTCGTAGTTGGTGGTTTTGTTGTGGTCGTCGTCGTGGTCTTATTCGAAGACCCTTCAGGCCCACTCGCTGCCTCTGATGCGCACACGGACGGGCAGCAGCACAGGGCGAGCACCAACAGGGCGCACAGCAGACGGCACGTCATCATCATCGTGAGTGTGGTCGTTCAGTGGTGTGGAGCTGATCTGCACAGTGAGGGAAACGGAGAGCAAAAGGGGAGACGAGAGGTGCGGCAGACACACACAGAGGGCACACCACATGAGGAGAGGGCAGCAGCCAGGCATGCACCGTACGCCGCACACCACGCACGACACACACTCCAATCCACGGCAGCAGGCACACACACACACAGCCCTGCCGCAACACCAACACACACAGATGGAAGAGGGAGAAGCAAACAGGAGCGGCACACAAGGCTCCACCGCATGTACATGCGGCGAGAGCGGTCCGTCGTGTCGGCACCCCTCACGGAGGGTGCGCACACACACAAGAAGGTGCAGCGCACACAGCAACACAACAGCAAAGTAACAATTAAAAAAGGAGATCCCCGCACACCACGCGGATTGTTGGTCCACGGGAAGTGCAGCCAATATTCATCACAAAAGCATTTGCAGTAGGCCTTCGTCCACATTCATCGTAGACCACTTCATGCAGGCCGGCCACCACCGCAACAGGAGCTGCTGAACACGCAACAAGAAACAAGAAAGGGAGGTGGTGTGGGAAACAGCATCGATGCTGTCACTGTCGCCAGGCGCCGCTGGGTTATTCGTTTTGTATGTGGCTGTAGAAGATGTTGTTTCCTTCTCGCTGCCATCCTCTCGTTCATGTTGGTGTTCTCCCTCCGGCACAGCGGCATGAGATGAGGAACCACCGTTCAAAATCTCCGCATTGCCCGCGTCAGCGTCATTGGCGGCAGCAGCAGCATCCGCAGAAGAAGATGGTGAAGCTGTCTCAGCCTGACCCTCAGTTATTGCATTCTGCCTTGCATCCGCTGTTGGTTCAGTGCCTTTTCTGCAGATCTTCTGTTGGCTTCATGGTCGCTGGGACTTCCGTTGAGGATGGCAGTGCGCTGTGTGGTGGTGATTTCGGTGGCGGTTCTGATGGGCCTGCTGGCGCCTCTTATTCTGCTGCTGTTGGCGGCAATTCCTCCCATGCTTCTTTTTTCTTCCTGTGCCGCCTCCTCCTCTGCACCTCCTTGTGCCGGTGGTTTTGGCTGTCGTAGGGGCATTGGCCGTGCTTCTCCCTGTTCTGCTGCACCGGTCGTAGACGATCGATAATTTCCAGAGAGCGACTTTGAAGCAGACTCCGTGCCCGGATGTCCAGGGGAACGACTGGCGCTTGAAGCAGACAGTCATTCGGGTGCTTCAGCCGCAGGTGCATGCTCTGCATTGTGCGCGCTGCCAGTCAAACATTACGGATTTCTTTTTGCTCCTTTCACCACATCCCCTGATCCTCCTGAGCCCATTCTGGCACTCCCTGTACCACGGACACACTCTGTTCAGCGTCAGTCGCTGTTTGAAGCTGCGGTGTTTGCTCTTGACTGTCGCCGTTCGATGCGCCCCGTGTGAGACCCGAGCTGGGTGCAGCCGCATGCTCTGCTGAGTCCTCGGACGGCTGCGTCGCATGTGCTGTTTGTCCTTCTGCTGGCGCTGGTGCTGGAGTTCTCCGTGCGCTCTCCCCCGTCCTGAGCACGTGTGGCCCTTCTCGTTCCTGTTGTGTCCACTCGCTCTGAATATTTGTAACTGACGCGCTGCCTTTCTTTCCATCCCTCTCTTCCACGGTGAGAGTTGCCGACCCCGCAGAAAATTGTGGCGGTTGGGAGCACACACTCGACATTGACGGCTCTTCGCCGCAGCATGCTGAGCCTGCCTCCTCCCTTTCTCCTGCCTCACTTCCACCAGCAGGAAGATCGTCTTGGACGCCGGAGACAACTGCGGGCTGCTGCTTGGGCCAACACCACCACCAGCACCCGAGACAGGAGTACTGCTGGCAGCGTCTGTATCGGCAGCAGAAGATGAAGCCATTGGTGCAGCCCCACTGCCGCTGAGCTTCAGTCCCGCTCCCTGCATCACCGACCGGTGGTTGTCCTGCATCACTGTTGAGCGTTCCGCTTGCACCAATGCCGCCGTCCTCACCGGCCGGTACCGCCGCAGCTACTCCCCGTAAGGCGGCACTCGACACGCAGTCCCTCCTCGCAAACACCACATCGCCATCCATTCCCCTCGCAAGCCCCGCGTCGTCCATTCCACCATCAGCACAGTAGCACACAGGCCACGCATCACCACCGACGACACCGCATCACAGCACGCAGAGGACACACACCAGCAGCACACGGCCAGTCATCATCATCGCCATCACTCCTGTCACTTGCCTGCAGCCTTCAGCACAAACTAGCTCCCCGTCAACGCAGAGCAAAAGCAAAAGGAGACAATTCACAAAGCCACGCACCGTCCCATCCAGCAATGAGAGTCACGCACCACCACAACAATTAGGTGAGCGCGGTTCAACAACAATCAAAAAAAGAGGTGCTCCTCGCCAGTGCCCTTTTCCTCACACTCTCACAGTCACTGTTACTGTTATTCCCTCTCCTCAGGCCCTCACAGGCACGCCACGCTCACTCCAACACGCGCCCCTCCAGCACACGCAGTCCGTCATGCGCTCCCACTGCGCCGCAAAGTCCGTCACCTCCTCCCAGTCGAACAGCTCCGTGTCCTCCACGTCCCTCACAATCGTCGGCATGCCCCGGCCGCGCAACACCCACAGCGCCACAATGTCGTGCCGCCTCTCCTCCCCCAATCATGAACGCAAAGCCCAACGCGTACTGGCGCACGTGCTCCATGCGCTGCAACCACAGGCCGATCAGATTGGCCGTCATGAACTGCATCTTGTCGTCCTCCGTGTACTTGAAGCAGACCCTCACATCCTCTCGATCCACAGTCTGGGTGCTGCGAGAGGCTGCCGAGAGGCGCTACGTGTGTGGAAGAAGCAAATGTGGGGAAACAACGGCCACCCTCACTCCCTCACACATCTCCACTTCCCTCCACTGTCCCACACAAAAGGGCGGTGTCATGGGGAAGAGATGCCCGCCGCACAGCACATGCACGAGGGCACACGCGGAAGCAATGCCATCCACTTCGCACTGCAACAAAGAGCCATGCGCTCAGCACACACACGGCGGCAACGAGAGCGACGGGGTGCATCCAATTACATACCGCACAGCCATTTACTTCTCTCCGCACGGCTAGTGGCGTCCCACACTCACAGTGAGGCACGGCGCACACCATCTTCTCCCTCCGAGGGCACTCAGGAGGCCGGCGCCCAGTCACCCTCGTGCCATCGCAATGGGTAGCACAAACAACCGTCGTCGCAAACCATCGGCGCCTCTAGCAGAAAAGAAGAAAAAGATATGAGGGCAGCTCAGAAACACAGCCAGCAGAGGGACACCCAACGACACACGGAGGCACACAGTGACAGTGGACACGGCACGGACAAAAAGAAGTCCGCAGGGATTTTTTAAAAAAGAAACTAAAATGAGTCAGTAGGACTTCCATTTCGTGTGCCATGCAGCACAAGACGATCAAGTGCGCATAAATATTACCTGCACAAGTAAAAAATGTAATAAAAAAAAGAAAAAAATCTTATTACTCCACCAGCCCACACAACATCCCTCACATTTCACGCGGCATCCGGCCTCTTCTTCCAATCCCCGTTCCTGCAGTCCGTGGGAAGCACAGCAGCGGAGCCGGCACCGCGTGTGGGCAACAACCAAAAAAGAAACACACAAGAAAGAAAACACGTCGCCCATTCCAGTGCACATCAACCGAACATTAAATAATGAGAAGAAAAAAGGGCACTTATTACTCCAGTGGGAAAGCATCAAAAAGAGCATTACAAAGAAGAAAAAAGGTTTAAAAAGCGATCCGTAAATCATTAAAAAAGAGGAGAAAAAACAGTGACATAAAAACCGCAAAGTATGCGGCAAATATCCCCCGTGGGGAGTCACAATTCCACCCTCTTTCGCTCGAAAGACTACCACAACTCCACACAGTTCCAGCAGCAGCAGCAGCAACGCCAGAGACACGCACACACGCGCAGTGCGGCCGCCAGTTGAATCGCGTGGTATCAACTTCACGTCGTCAAACAGGACGAGGCGGCCGTCTGGACTCACGCCGCTCCAGATCGCGCAAGGACACATTTATTGATGCCGTTTTGGTGTTCCGGGGACGTTCTGACCATTCATTCCTCCCGCGATTTTCCCAGGAACGTGCTCGCCGCTGCCGTCAACGGCCTCAGTCTTACGGGCATCCCTCGAGCCCACTGCCTTCCTCAACGCGGTGGCGAGAGCAGTCTTCGTCACGAATGCATTCGGATCCATTTCTATGTCCCGACTCATGGCAATGCTGGGCTTCCTCTTGGGTGGTGTTGGAGCCACTTTTATGTTCCGAACAAAGACAAACTCAGGCCTCGTCTCGGACGTGTTGGTCGCCGTGTTGGATGCGAGACTCCGATCGACGGTGTTGGGTCCGTCAGCCGCCGCAGACTGTCGCCGATCCTCGTGTTGACGTGACGGCTCAGCATTCACTTGCGGCGCAGTTGTCTCGCCAGATTTTGTGTCATCCTTCCCTTCACGGGGTGGCGGCAACTGACAGATGCCCGTCCGGTCAGCATCGCCGCTCCGTGCAGGCAGATGGATGGTTCCATCGGGGGAAAATTGTCGCCACCACAATTCGTAAGGGCCGGCGTATTTATGTGTCGTCACATTCGTCGTGAAGGCAACGGTGGCCCCTTCCTCTTCCGTTGCACAGCTGGCAGCACAGTTGCTACATGTGTGCACCGCATTGGCCACATGGCACACAGCACACAGCTCACCATTCCTGCTATGCATGCGCACATCAAAGCCACTGAAAGTGTAATTGTCATACTGAGCCTCAGCACCGGCAGCAGAACACTTCGTCCACGCCCACACACCCATGCACGCGACAGCTCAGGCTGCCGTCACTCGGAGCACACGACACGTCCACCGGCACAACCACCGCATCCGCAGCACCAGATACATCTCCAGGAATCCCAGCAGCCGTCACGCACACGGACGAGCAGCAGCAGCACACGAGGCACCACCGCAAGCAAACCCTCATCCATCCATGACGCGGCACAAAAACCTACAACCATCCCGCCCTCAATGGAACACGGAGCCCAACTCAACGCAGCCACACGCGGTGCATCACACCCACAAGAAAATAGACTCGGGGTGCGCTCCCCTCTCCTCCCTTCTCCTTATGGCCACGGAAGAACAAATAGCCGCCACACGCAACTGCCAGCATGCACCACAAAAGAAGCATCCAAATCCACTGCAATGTGCATCTTGTGTGTGTGTGCCTGCAGAAACACAAAGAAAAGAAGTAAAAAAGAGGAGGCAGAGTGTGTGGGGAGACGCACAAAAATGTACAGCGGAGACGCATGGCGGAAACAACAACTAGAAGACCGCTCAAACTCATGACTGCACTGCAGCCGAAGCAGCGGCAATTCACACAAGATTTATTTAAAACAAGAAAACGTTCCCCTTCGTCTTATACAAACCCCATCACACAAAATAATTACAAATAAAAAAAGAAGTCGTCCATTACTGTTCCACACAAATTTTAAAAAGCAGCCGACTGCCGTGTGGCCACACCAAACTGTCTGTATTTATTTTGTCCCAAAATAAAATTAAAAGATATTTAAATGACTTTCAACCGTCCGACCCTCCATGTGTCCGCGCATCGTTTATATTTCATGGGGTCATCTGCGTGTTGCTGCTCCCCTCAGTCCTCTCATCGGTGCGTGAGTGCGGCCCGCAGAGCACAGTCACTCGTGTGTGTGGGGACTGAGAGAAGCACGCAGACACGACGGCAGTCGCGTCTCTCCATCGGGAGAGTGAGCGCAACAAAAGAAGAAAATCATCAGGAGGGAAAATAAATGCTCACGAGGCCGACACCGAAGGCTCTGCCAGCGCGTGAAATGAACACAAGCAAAAAATCTTAAAAACACGGCGGCAGAGTGTGGCTGTGTGTGTGTGGCGCTGCGGGTGTCTGCCAGCCCTGGACGCAACGAAAACAAAACAAGAGGGGAAAAATGTGTGCTCCGCCCCACAGGCCCTCGTCGCACGCCCACACGTCACGGCTCCCTCAGCGCGCCGTTCGTCGCGGCCCCTCCTCATGCGTGCAGCAGGCGAGGCGCACAGGGCCGTCGTCATGAGCGTGTCGGTGGGTGTGCGAGTGGAGCAGTTGGGCGAGAAACACACGGCACCCCTCACAGGAAGAGTGCAGCAACAAACAATTAAAAGAGGGAAGAGTAGAAAAAACGTCCATAGTGGTTGCCCCAAAAGCCAAAAGAAAGAAGGGAAGGGAGTAAAAAATTAAAACAACAAAAACAGGGAAAAAAGTAAATAAAAATTATTAAAGAAAAGAAATTAATTACCAGGTGTGTGTGTGTGTCGGTGCTGGGGAGATCGCAAGTGCTCCACGCGGCAGCCAGTCACGCCTCACTGAGCCGCAAACCCCCACAGTCCCAACAGCAGAAGGAGCAGCGGCAGCGCCCTCCTCTCACGCATGGTGCCGGCATCGGTGTTGTTCCCCTGCGACGAATTTCCGAGACTGCTGCTGAGTGCCGCAGACTTTACTTCCCCGGCCTGTGAATGGATTCCCTCCTGCCCATCCGTTCCTCCCGTTGTCTCCCCATCCTCGCCAGAACTCACGCTCACCTCAGGAGTTTGGGGTGATCCATTTCCCAGCATTGTGTCTCCACTCCCTGTCGCCACCGTTGGGCTAGCATCAGACGAGGGAGTCGTAGTAACGGAAACTGCACTGGATACACCGCCAGCACCAGCACCAATATTCGCCCTCAACGGTTCCTCTTCCAACGGCAGTTGCCTGGAAGAATTAGACCGGTGCAGGGATACCTCCACATCCGGTGCACTTGCCGCTGGTGAAAGAGGACTTGTCGTCGGTGTCTTCGGATCCTCCGGCTTCGGATTAGTAATTGTATTTTTGGCAAGCGTGGTAATCTCAGTGCCATCCAACGGGCGGTTGTACAGTAATACGTTCTTCACCGTCACAGGCACGCCTTCTTGAGCCTCTGCGCTGCCTCCATCCCCTCCAATGTAGAAGTGGGAGATCCCTTTAGATCCTTCAATATCCTGTAAAGCAAGTTGCGCATTCCCCACACGCTGACCATCGACATACGCAGAGCCCTGACTGCCGTTATGTAGCACAATGGCCACCTGGTACTGTGTCTCTGTCTCCCAATTACTGCTGTGCTCCGTGTTCTCTCCGCCGCACAACACACGCCACTTATTTTCATTGTCGTACGACAGTCCAAGAAGTACTGGATTCTCACTGTCATTCATCTTCGCACCAATCAATGGAATGGGGGTATCTCCCCTCGGCACACCGTGGATGGACACCGTCGCCAAAAGAGTGAAGTTGTAGTTCGCAAAGTGGTACAGCTGATTCTCCCCCTGCTTGCCAACATGCCACTCCGCTCCTGCACCACGTCCAGTGAACCTCACGCCCTTCTCCGCATACCCTGTTGCCACCCCATTCGTTACTGTGGCGTTCACCCCGAGGTACTCGTCCTTCCATTTGTCATCAGAGAAGTTGCCGGACAAAAAGCCAACCAGCCCATCCGTGATCTTACCAGTAGTGCAGGCATTTTCAGTTGAGGTATCTTCCTCAGCACTTGAGGTGCACAGCTTGGAGACACGTTCGTCCACTTTCTTCCAGGTCGCCAGCACATCCTTCACCCGCTGCAGCTGCTCAGTCAGACGCACAGAGACCATACCGAGTGATGATTCCGCATCGTCCTTCTTCTTCTTGTACAGTGCAATCAACTCCTCATTATTATCTCCACTTTTGTACAACAGGGAGCTGGCGGCAGCATCATCATCGTTCCCGGACACCGGCCCAATATCAACAATGTGCGTATTGTCCGTCAGCCAAAGATGAAGTTCACCCTTTTTATTTTCCTTTTGGTTTTCTTTGGAATACACCGGCAGGGTAACGAGCATCACATTTCTCTTATCATCTTCAACACCGTCGCCAATATTCGCTGTGATGAACCCGCTTCTAACAATTTCAACCTCTCCACCCTTTTGTTTGCTGCCCCACACGCGCGAGAGTGTCCCAAGTGCCTCCGTCCACGATTCCCCCTTGTCATCGGACTCGTACACCCTGCGGCGGCCATCACACGCAGTCATCATCATGAGTTTATCCTTCCACTCCACGACGGAGGGATCACTGCAGCCATCGTCAGGCACCTCCTTCGACAGACTCCAATTCTTAGTTTCCGAGGAGTATATAATCAGTAAGACGGTCTTCCCATCCTTTCCTGCGCCATCCTTCTTCGTGCCTTCCACTGGGAACGCAAACGTACCATCATCCATCTTAACACCCGATCCACCGACGACAATCAGCTGTGGCAAGGATTCGTGTTTCGCGCCTAGAATGCACGGTACACCGTCAGTATCGTCCCAACGTATTTTTTTACCGCCTTCACCGACCTCACCCTTCACCAGCAATATTCCCGATTTGATCTTCTCAGTCTCAGCCTGACAGTTAGCGGCAGCTTCATGGCTGTGTTTTCCAACAAGCATGTAAATATCATTTCCCTTTACAACTGTTGTTGGTCGGCTCACATCTACTTTCTTCTTCTCCATAGAAATGTCTTCTTCCAGAACTTGTGTATACTTGGCATCCTTCAGCACTTCCTCTTCCGGTCCTTTACCCTTTTCCATCGAGAGTAGTTGGGATGCAATGCCAGTAAAAACGCTGGTTTTACCTTTCTTGCACTGCGCCTCGGCAACGGCAAACACTTTACCATTCACCTCAACAAGACTGGGACCACGAAGCGAACTCACAGTTTCATCACCTGTTGCATCTCTCCAACCAAAAGGTGACTTCGGTACAGGTTCCTCAGGTATCGTTGGCTCCACCTCCGCAATTTTCGCAGCTCCACCAGTGCCACAGCACATCATCACAACAAATAGGAGGAGCACCGCGGAAGTAAACACACGCCGGGACATGTTGGGCCTCTGCCGCTCACTCTCTCTTCCTTCCCTCCTCCTCCCGCTGGATCCGGTCACGCGGCGACGGTTGTGTGTGCGGGGTGCCTTCACTGCAGCAACACGTGAGAGCATATAAATATGTGTGTGTGGGCGGTGTGTGTGCCGTTGGTCCTTTCAGAGCCTTCAAATTTCACGGTAGCGATTAGCGCTTGTATGCTTCCTTCGTGTGTAATTGAGAAAGAAATAGAGGGACAAAAAACATGCCAATAAAGAGGACGAAACAGTGAGCACCGCCACCCATCCACAGTGAGTGGCAGCATTATCCGCAACGCAGTCACTCCCAGCAACAACAACTCACGCACACAGATACACGGAACGAGAAGGGAGAACAGTGCACCTGGAACACACAGCGACCGCCACCACCAGCAGCAGGAGTCACGGCGGGTGTGTTGTTATTCACGCTTCAGCACACACCGAGCGACGCCTACACACAAAACAACCAGCGGAATGCAAAAGAACACAACCGTCCTTGGCAAAGCCCACGCGCTCTCGCCAGTCATTTTACTGTTCACCCTTCCAGCGCATCCGCCAGCGCACATCACCCACACAGGCAAAGAATCCCTGACCAAAGTATACTCAGCATGGGAGATACACATTGGCACGTGCAGCAGCTGGACAAGAAGCAATCCGCACTTGTCCCAGGCACCCTAAGCCACACCACCCAATAGACTGCACGCCTGCAACGTGTCGAAAAATAAATAGCAGGCTCCCGTCCTCCCTCCTCGCAAGGGAATTTGCAGCCGGAATCCTGTGCGTGCGTGCATTCTCAGCGGTTTAAACACGGCATGTGTGTGTGCATGTGCTTGTGTGTTTGGCAGCGCCTATACTTGCAGAGCAGCTGTGCGCCACAATAGAGTCTGAAGAAAGCAACGGCAGAGAGGCAGATAGCACACACGCAAATTACTCATAACATCACACACACACACACGCAGCCGCGGAATGGGTGCACTCAACCACAAAATCAAAAAGGAAAAAAAAACAAAAAGCCGCAGCGTGGGACGACCAGCGCAAACACTCTCATTGCTCCCGTAAAGCAAAACACACACACAGAGGGAGAGAGAGAGGTCGCCCACTCAATGCAATAAAAACAAAACAGAAACAGTTACGGTGCTCCGCCCATGCAGCCAGGCAGGACGGCAGCGGTGCGTGTCGTGCAAAAGAGAGCACCAACGGGCCTGCATGGGTGTGCATGCATATATACAATGGGCACATTATTGTGTGTGCTTCGTGGGGTGAGGTGAGGGCGAGAGTCCATGCAAGGGGACACACACACAGAGTGAGAAGGACGAGTGTGTGTGCGGGCGGTGCGTGGCTCTCCCACATTCACTCTCACGCGGCCACCACCGCAGCCGCAGCCGCACACGCAACAAAAAGAAGAAGCAAAAGAGGGGAGGTGGTGTGGGAGACTGCGGTGCTGCTGTCGCTGTCGCCAGGCGTCGCCGTATCAGTTGTGTTGGCGGTGGTGATTGTTCCTCCTGTTTGAGGTGCTGCCTCACCGGCCGTGGGAGCTGGGTGGGTATCACTACCTTCAAGATCATCATGTGATTCATTCGGGTTGGGCCGCTGAGCATTGGCAGTATTCTCATCCGCCGTACTCCGGGCTTCATCACCGCTACTTGTGGAGTTTGATGATGCTGTTGTTTCCTCCTGATTGGTGGCAGGTGCATTCTCCGTCAAATTCTCTGTGGCTGTGGCTTGACCTTGTTGCTCTGCCACAATACCCTCTGAGGGATCTTCCGGTGGTTCGGCCGTCGTTTCTGTTTGTGACGATGAGTTTTCATGCTTTTGATGTGTCAAAGTCTGTGCATCGTTTAATCCTTTTTGGCTTGCGTCTCCTTCTGGAGCTACGTGGGGTGTTTTTCGTCCAGGCAGTTTTACTTCCGGTGTTTGTGTTGTTGCCAATGTTGTTGGTTGTGCTGTTGATACTGGTGGTGGTGGTCCTTCCTCTTTTTTTTTCTCTTTGCGTGTCTTGGGTTCCGTGTTATCTTTTTCTTTCAATCCTTCCTGTACTTGAGGTGAATGCGAGTCCTTTACTGGTAGGGACTCCTTTGCGGGCGTCTCTTTTTTCTCTTCCACCCTTATTCTTTTGGTACTGTCATTTATTCTACCACTGTTATTCTCTTCTTCAGAAGAGTTTTCTCCTTCGTCTTCGGCATCATCCTCAGGAATTTCTTCAGTAGTTTGCGGAGGCACTTCTTTAGGTGTGAGAGGTTCTTCTTGTCCAACTCCTGCATGTGGCTTTGGTGCGCCTAAAGCCCCTGGTGCTGAGATCACATTTTCCGGATTTATTGACAAACCCTTACCACCCCTCACAGAACCATCATCTTCCGCATCCTCTCCTGCAGCACAGCCGCCGCCGGCACCGCACCACAGCACGCAGAGGACACACACCAGCAGCACACGGCCAGTCATCATCATCGCCATCACTCCTGTCACTTGCGCGCAGCCTTCAGCACAAACTAACTCCCCGTCAACGCAGAGGGAAAGCAAAAGGAAATACGGCCGCTACAACCACCGCAAAGTGACAAATGGCAGCAGCGGCAGCGGACGCACAATGAAGAATATGGAATCAGTGGAAAAGAAAACAGACAAAAACAGCCCCTCAGCAAGTAAGCAGCAAAAAAAAAACACCAAAAAAAATTAAAAACAAAACACAAGGAACACAACAAAAAAATTAAAAAAGTAAAAAAACAAAAATCAAGGAGCTGCAAAGAACGACTGAAGTGCACACGCGCCAACACACAAACATGCGTCCACGCAAACAGTTGTGGGCGCGTCGTGCATATTAGTGCGTCTGGTATGCGTTCAACGTGGCGGATGCGGGGCGCAACGCGGAACACACAGCACGGCAGCAGAAGCAAGTGAAGCAAAACAAGAACATTATTTCCTCTTATTTTATACAGTGAACCACAACACACACGCACAAATCCCCGCGGTTGAGTGCTGGCACGCACAGCCCGCACACACCTCTTCAGCCCAGAGTGGTGTACGCCAGCGCGGATGCGGCGAGCACCAGCGGGGCACACACCCACGCAGAGCTGCTGAGGCTGCCGTCCATTTCGCGAAGACGTGACGGTGCGTGGGTGGTCGTTGTAGTTGGCGCCTCTGTAGTCGTATTACTTGGTGCCTCTTGTAGTGGTGGTTGTCGTGGTTGTCGTAGTTGGTGCATTTGCCTTTTGAACTTGTTGGACTGGGTTAGCGGATTCACTTGGTTGCTGTTCTGTAATAGGGTCCGGAGATGTTGAATCGGAACTCGCTGACGGAGCCGATCCAGTACCTTTGCCTTTTCCAGAATCGCGTTCCGTGCCTGATCTCACTTCCTCAATGCGCGGGGATTCTGACCCTTCAGTACCGTTCTCACCTGTAATTTGTACCGTACCGTCCTTGGAATTTGATGTCTGTCCGTTAATGGACACACCTGGCATGCCTTCACCACCTGCTTCCTGTGGCTGAGCAGGCGATAAACTGGAGCTGTCATTGCCAGTATCCTCCGACTCAGTCTCTGTCACGCACACGGACGGGCAGCAGCACAGGGCGAGCACCAACACGGCGCACAGCAGACGGCACGTCATCATCATCGTGAGTGTGGTCGTTCAGTGGTGTGGAGCTGATCTGCACAGTGAAGGACATGGAGAGCAACAGGGGAGACGAGAGGTGCGGCAGACACACACAGAGGGCACACCACATGAGGAGAGGGCAGCAGCCAGGCATGCACCGTACGCCGCACACCACGCACGACACACACTCCAATCCACGGCAGCAGGCACACACACACAGCCCTGCCGCAACACCAACACACAGATAGAAGAGGGAGAAGCAAACAGGAGCGGCACACAAGGCTCCACCGCATGCACATGCGGCGAGAGCGGTCCGTCGTGTCGGCACCCCTCACGGAGGGTGCGCACACACAAGAAGGTGCAGCGCACACAGCAACACAAAAGCAAAGTAACAATACAAAAAAGGAGATCCCCGCACACCACGCGGATTGTTGGTCCACGGGAAGTGCAGCCAATATTCACCACAAAGCAGCTTGTTATCTTGTTTTGGTTGTATGCTGCTACAATAACGAGTGAGTAGCGCAAGGGCCGTCCGTACAAAAGTGGCAAGTATTCCGTCGTGCGGGCTGGGGCAGTCACAAACAGTCGCAGTCCAGTTCCCAACGACGAGGGCATTCCCGCAGTGGATGAGGCGGAGTCTCCCGTGGTCCGTCGGGGATCAGCAGCCCGTGGCGTCCGTGATGAGGCGGTGGCGGAAGAGCCTGGTCCATCTCGAGTACCCGCGTTTGTGCTTCCTGCGTGTCTTGCCTGCTGGCATGCTTGGCAACTTCGGTGGCGACCTGCGCGCGAGGCAACTTTTAGGAAAACGGTGACGCCATTGCGGCATCCGCATGGGAGGCCCTCGCAAACTATTATAACGCCAGGCTGAGCACGTCGGGCATGTGCCCTCATACTGTGGACGGACAAGCGCACTCTGCCGCAGGTTGGGCAGGAGGACGTCAATCCGCCGCTCGCTGGTCGACAAGGAGTTGCGGTGCTCACGTCGGGAAGAGGTTCCGGCGGAGGCAGAGGCGGGCTGGTCACCGCAGTGAGGGGGGGACGGCACCACCGACACAGAGGGTTCCTTGTGATCCGCAGGGCGCGTGCAGGCCTGTCGAATAGTGGGCAGGCGTCGCATCGCGCCTGTGCGCAGTGCCGCCACTCGGGGACCGATGTCCGGGTCAACACCAGGAACGGAGTCCTCGCCACACCGACAGGCGCCTGCCACGCGGTGCGCGCGCCCTCCTTTTCCTCCTGGGCATCCTTCCATTATAACCTCTTGACGGCGGTAGGGAAGTCCACGTGCCAGGCATTGACGCAGTCCTGCGAGAGGGATCGTGCAATCGCGGCTTGTTTGTCAGCGGCCTCACTGCGTGGAATACCGCAGTGTGATGGGAGAATATAAAATCCACAGGGTGACCTCGCTTCACCAAGGAAAGCAGCATAATCCAAATTTACTCAGTAACGCGGTCTCGCACGGTCGGTGGGCAACGCGGGGTGCCTCCATTGCCGAGAGGGAGTCCGTTTCCTCCAGCATTCGTGTGGGCGATTGGGATGTTCCCAGACAAGGAGGTATGAGATGTATAAAAACATTTTCGATCGCAAGGCAGTCTGCCCTATATGAGCATGCGAGGCTGCCAGCTGCTGCACGATGGACCTCCACAGGGAGATCATTTGTCGTGGTGGAGTCATATAATAGCGCAGCGGATCCGGATGCGAGTGCAGCGAGATATGAAGGACCGTCCGCCCACAATTCAAAATCACAATCCCCCAAAGAGGAGTGAGTAGAATAAAAAGCCGTGCGCTTGATATCGTCAGAGGCGTCTTCGGCAAACAGTGGCTGATAAAATCTCACCCCGCTGCAGCTCACAGTGTCCCAGGGAAAAATTCGATGTTGGGCAAGAGGCGCGAATGTGGTTGTGGGGTGTCCCAATAATGTCACAGACGCGTAGCAATCCATTAATAGCAGCATCTCTCGGAAGCGGATTGATGTCGCCGCTTTCCCATGCATGGACGGAGGCATAGGTTCCGAGTAGATAAGGAAACGCAAATCCTCGTGATCATGGAGGCGTATATAGCGTTCGTATTGTGTGAGTGCACGACGCCAAAGTACCTTCCGAAGCAGAAGAATATTGGCCTCCAAATAGACAGATGTGTCTTCCGTAGAGGCGCTCAGGCCAAGAATGCTTTGCTACCGTCACGGTACCGTACCTCCATATTATGGAGGTGTGTGGGGGCGAGTCACGGGACAATTGCCTCGCCATTATGAAATAGCACACTATGAACGCATCCAATCAAAAAGGATCGCATGGTGTGATGGGACGCGCCCGCTCCTGCGACCAGACGCAGCTGATAGCGGCGTGGCATGGTCCTCTTCGAAGCGGTGGAAGCATGCGTAACAGAATTAAGAAGTTGATCGAACGTGTTGCCCAGCAAGCGCACTGGGCGTGACTGAATACGCAGGTTCCCGCTAACAAGATGGAGATCGACCATTTCCTCGTCGGACCGTGTGTGTGTAAAGAGATGTGGAATAGAGCAGCTTCGCTCTTAGCGACGTTGATTTTTAGGCTGTGCTCGGCAGCCCATGTGGCCACAAAAGACAAGAGCGGTCGCATTGCCGCAGCACAGGCATGGATGTCCGCACCTGAGGCAACAAGTGTGTGTTCGTCAGCGTACATGAATGCGGAGGCAGAATAGATGCTGCCCAGGCGGCGCAGCAGACCATCCACACAGTAGAGGGAGAGTTGGGGTCCCGGGACGCCGCCTTGCGGTGCTCCAGCTGAGGCGAGTTGTTTCCGGGAGTGCTGTTCGCGAGTGCATACCCTAACATAGCGGCCCCGCAGGTAGTTGTGCAGCCAGCGTTTGGTTCGAGGCCAAGGCGCGGAAGTCTGTCAAGCATGCAGAATAACTTCCCATGGTCAGTGGTGTCGAACGCAGTCGGAAAATCAATCGAGACCACAAGCGATGGCGACGAGGGCGTCGTGTGGAGGCGTCGTCTCCAGGGCGCTCATACTCCACAATGCCAAACTCATTCAATCCACGGGTAATGTGTCGACAACAAGTGCCACCACATCCGACGTAGAACGCGGAGGTGCAAATCCGAAATTGACGTGGGTGGTGCGGCAATAACGCTGACAGACGGCGGTGAGTCATTCCTTCGGCTAACTTTAGTAAAACAGAGAGCAGCGTGATAGGTCTGTAACTCTCTGGGCGGCATGGATCCTTCCCGGGCTTGGGAATAGAAATAGCGTCTCCCGTTTTCCAGGAGCCAGGCAGGCTGCCGTTTGCGAAGGAGTTGTGGATCATCGTTCTAAGTGTGCCACGCGCAACGGGCCCGAGACGGTGCAGGAATTCATTCAACATGTCGTCGGGGCCAGGGGCTGAGCCAAGCAAAGAGTCGCGGATGGCCACGTCAAGTAAATACGGCGGGAAAGGCCGATCCATTTCCCAGCCACCAGGAACCAAAGGAGTGCAGCGAGCAGCAGCAGCAGTACAAGGCGGTATGGCACGTGAAACCGCACAAAATGACAGACAAGCAGATTTGCCTGTTGCCGAGGCAGGGCGCATGCGCGGCCAAGTTCAGTACGGAGCACAACCGATTCCAGAGGATGAGGGTGCGGCGCCGCCACGCCGTGGAGATATCGCCACCTCGGGCTGGGTGAGGCTCCAAGTCCTTTCGCGCGGGCCTCCAGAAGCACAGCGGAGCCACGGCGTAAGGCTTGATTTCGTTCCTCCTTTTTTCGGGTGCATTCGGCTCAAAGTAGGCTGTCTCCGGGTGAGGCAATGTGTGTGCTTCGTGTGCTGCTTCGGTGGCGGACTCGGCCTGTTCCATTTCGTGTGTCCATATCTTTTTGGGGTGTCACGGCTGCCGCGCGGGATATGGCGCTC